GGACCCTGATTTAGAGAACCACCCATGTGGGCAACTTAAAGAGAAGTGGGCTTCGGGATAGAGGATGGCGAGTGTTGTCATTTTGGCCTGTTGAAGCTCCTTACATGTCAGATTTGAACTTCTAGCATCAGCAGGGTAGGGTTTATCACTTATGTTTGGAAGTTCTGTCCATGATCATTGCTGCTGCTTCGGCTGTGGACCCCACTTTGTTATGTATTGCTGCTACATTTCTGTAAACCCTTGGACCCAAACCCTAAACTCAGAAACCCTANNAAACCCTAAACCCTAAACTCTCACACCTCCGGAATTGAAAGGTTTGCGGAGCTTTTGGCAAAGGGAACTCACGCGGTATAGCATTTGTGGAATCCTAAGCGTGTGTGAGGGTTTAGGGCTTCGGGGTGATCGCTTTGGGGGCCAGGGGATTCAATTTGGAGCATATGGGCTAGGGTTTAGGGTTTAGGGCAGGCCTCTGTGCTTTGGGCTTGTGGCCTCAGTTGGCGGTGTCACGGGTTACGGTTCATTCTGCGTTCAGGCTTGACTGGCTCGGACTTTCGGAGGAAGAAGCGATGATGAGCTTAGGGCTCTTTCAAACTTTGAGGGGTGTAAAGCATTCTTCATCCGAAAGCCGTACTTGCCTATGATGTGAAATGATTTGAAGGCCCTCAGCCTGGTCGCTGCCGACCTGGAAAGGGCAGCACCCTGCTCACTAAAGAAGGCTGAGGGGCGTTGATAGCATCGCGCACGATCATGTACCTCGTCTGGATCACCTGGGGGTCGAATTCACAAACGAATTCGCAGACTGGCCGCAATTGCACTAACCCCTAAACCTGAAACCCCTCGATTTCCAACATGAACACTCTACATTTCGAAGACTTTAAAACCCTAAACCCTACACACGAAACTGCACAATAAGTGTCTCCAGTCCAGTCCCCAGCACCCCAGAAGCCTTGATTTTTGGGCTTCTGGCTGATGGCTTAGGGTGTAATCAATAACAACCCGAAGCCCCCTAAACCCTAAA